GTGCTTAAAGGGCCCCCCCCTGAACAGCCAGTTCTCAGGTTTCCCTGCTTGCTTGTCTACCTCGATGAGGGACAGCAAAGCATTTTGTCTGTGCGTGCTCTGGTTTCCCTCACTTGGGACACCACAGCACTCTGCAACATGGAGCCAGAACTGCCCCTGGGCACTCTGGTGCTTCTCTTAGATGCGTTGCTATGAGGCCTGGCTGCACTTTTTGAACGCTGCCATCCGGGATTGCCCTTTTAAGGGTGGCCATTTTGAAGTCTGAACTAAAACGGAAAGATGCTGCTCTTTTCAGAGCTCTGAGCCGCGGGTGCGGGAGCCACAATTTTTTCTTTGAAGAGCTGCGAGTTGGCCACCCCTGGGCTAGGTGGTGCTTATGTAACCCACATACCTAGGGTATATCTAGACTGCAAGCTTCTTTCAAAAGAGAGCATCCACACCTCAAAACAGGATCGAAAAAGCAATGTGCTTTTTCGAAAGAGAGCATCCAGACTGCATGGATGCTCTCTCCAAAGAAAGCCCTGATTGCTATTCATAGAATGGCCATCAGGGCACCTGTGCTTTTTTTGATTGCCTGTTCTTTCGAAAAATGTCTCTGTTCTGCATCCACACATGGCTTTTTTTGAAAGAGCTCTTTCGAAAACAGCTTCGTCCTTGTAATTTGTAGTTTACGAATGTCAAAAAAACCTACGTTCTTGCGATTTAATTTTGAAAGAACATGATTGCAGTGTGGACTCAGGTGTCGATTTTTCAAAAAAAGGGCAGTTTTTTTGAAAAAACCAATGTAGTCTAGACATACCCCTAGTGTGGGTCACTATCCCATATAGTGGCATTTTTGCCACTTACAGTGAGAGCTAAGAACAAGGGAGCTCTACAGCCTAAGCTGAAAGCCAGCTGGCTTTATAGCTCAAGCTATAGAGGCTCTCATAGTAGACTACAGAGATCCAAGGTTCAACACAGCCCTGTGGTGGTTACACTTGGTCCTGCCAGCGAGGGCATGGGATTGGACGTGATGACCTCTAGAAGTCCCTCCCAGTTCTAGGGTTCCATGATTCTATTAACCAAGAAAAAACATACTTTTAAACAAATCTGTGAAAATGTGTGTGGCCATTAGCACGTGCCTTGGCTGTTTCACGGGAGACGACAGTGAACTTCAGGAGTGGGAAGAACACAGAGGAGGACAAATGGGACAATGGCAAAATCAAAGTAACGACTGTTTACAAACACCCAGCAATGGAAATGGGTGAAAAAGCTTTTCATCTGCTTGTTTTTCAGTGTTCTTGCCTTCTCAGGGCACTCGCCTTCTATTCTGAGCATATCGTTTTATAGAACCCATCCAGCTTCCACCCCAGCTGGGACTCCTGTTTGATGGTACCAGGCTTATTCTCCATGTGCAGCCAGATATGTTTAATTGGGCTTGTAGCACCCATCACCCTTATCACCAGCTGTGTGGGGAAATACCCCATCACAGTTGGATATATTAAAAATGTTAGTAGTTGAACTTTTAAGGACACAGTGTTGTTTAAAAGTTTAATTAATTCTGAAAATAGCTATGATATACAGGCAGTCCCCGGGTTACATGGATCTGACTTACATTGGATCCCTACTTACAAACAGGGTGAGGCAACCCCGCACTAGCTGCTTCCCCCCAGCAGACCAGGGAGACGCGAAGCTAGCGCCCCCCCCAGCAGACCAGGGAGATGCGGAGCGGCTTTTCTCAGCAGACACCTCAGCTTGAGAATAAAGGACTGAGGGAAGTGAGGTGTGGGAGAATAAAACTGAGCTCTGGAGAAATGTTTGGCTAGAGTTTCCCCTACAATATGTACCAGTTCTGACTTACATACAAATTCAACTTAAGAACAAACCTACAGTCCCTATCTTGTACGTAACCCGGGGACTGCCTGTAGTTATTGTTTACTTGTCCTACTTTAATGTCTTGTTGTGGTTTCTCGTTGATTAGCCCGTATATTTTTTCTAGACGTTTTACTCCAGATCTGTCATCTTTTGTCTTCTCTGCCGAAGAGGCAAAGTTGCATTCTCTTCAGCTGCTGCCTATGTATCAGACAGGTAAATGTCTGCATATACACGGATTGCATGATTTTTGCCACAGAAGGTCTAGGAGAGAACATGCCAAGTATTCTCCTTATGCACTGTTTTAATTTTAGCAGTTACATACTTTCATGAAAAATGACTTGTGCTGAGCTTCCAATAACAAAAATAGAGCCCCGAACTCTCTTTAGTGATGCCTTGACAAAGTTTATGCAGAAATTAATCTGTCGAGTTAGTAAAACATTGACTTAATCTTTCTGTGTGGCAAACTGACATTTAATAAATTACTGTTAATGTTATCACAAAGATGCTAGGTTACCTACAGCCAACAGTAGAAACCTCATTTATATAATCAGAGTGAAGTAAACATTCCAAATCCCTCTAGATAGGAATGTTAAGTACATGGTAAATCAAACATTAGCAATAATTTTCCTTTATTGTTGTATACAGGAAGTTTCATGACCGCCAATGAAAATACTACAGCCAAGAAAGAATTGCTAAGTGTCTTCTGTTTTTTCTCCTTGCCTCATATTGGTTATCTCTATACCATTGGGAATTTGATAGAGCTGCTTTCTACCTATCAGTACTCAGAGAAATCTCAGCAGGCAGTTCTTACTCCACAATTCCTACATGTTATTACAAGGTACTGTGCTTAGAACTTGATCCTTTTGTTCGCCAATCTTAACTGCTTTTCATCAGCTCCCTAATTAAATCTTCTTCATACCCTTTATTGCAACTTCCTAGGTTTGCTTATAGGACAGTGCTTCTGCTTCCACTCTATGGCTCAATCCACACAAGGGAAACTATTGAATCCCTGTGTAATCTCGGTTGCTTAGTTATTGCCAATCTTCTTGTTAATCAATATTGTCATTTCTCTACCTTAGTAACAGCTTGCAGTGTTTCACAGTACGATGCAGTGCAGCAGCAGCTCGTGAGGAGGATCTATACATTGATACAACCATGAAGGTGCGCTCCCAATAGTCTCATGACAGATGCAAAATTTAAAGCAAATGTGGGTACCAAAAAGGCATTTATCTTCCTCAGACTGCTGTATGCCTTCTCTTCAAATCTTACTTAGTCACTTCAGCCTATAGAACCTAGTGGCACAAGAAAGCATTAATGATTCCACTTTAATATTTCACAGTGGCACATTCCACTGTTCTACTGGGTGTGGAAGCTGTAGCTGAAACAGGATCTACTATTGCTTCTTAAAATCTCAAATCATTAGCAGAATATTTATAAAGGCTTTACAAATGTGTATTTATTTTTGTAAATTTGAACTACAGGTAGTCCCCGAGTTACGCGGATCTGACTTATGTCGGATCCGCAGTTACGAACGGGGATTTTCTCGCCCCGGAGGACTCGAGCGGCGGGACGCCTGGTCCCGCCGCCCGCCTCCTCCAGGGCGAGAAATGCTGCTCCCCGTCTCCCTGGTCGGCAGGGAGACGGGGAGCAAAGCCTTGGAGCACGCCCGCAGCGGGACAGCCCGGGCGCGCTTGAGCTGTCCCCCTGCGGGCGTG